TAGATAGATAGAGGTAAGTGTGTGTGTGTGTGTGTGTGTGTGTGTGAGAGAGAGAGAGGCAGATAGGTAGGTATAGATGATAGATAGATAGATAGATAGATAGATAGATAGATAGATGTAAATTGTGTGTGTGTGAGAGAGAGAGAGAGAGAAGCAGATAGATAGGTATAGATGATAGATAGATAGATAGATAGATAGATAGATAGATAGATAGATAGATAGATAGATAGATAGATTTCCCCTCTTTTCACGTGTGGGTATGTGGCTAAGTGGTAATAATGTTTTTATTAACACTGAATCGGAATTCAAAGAACAGTGTTGTTTCCTGGTGGATATAACTGCTTGCCAGACAGAGGCTAATGCGTGTGCAGCAAATCCTCCTCCATTGAAATGACCTTGGATTAGCAAATATGGACATTCTGCTTGTTAATAAACATCGCTTCCTCTTATTACTCTGTTAAACAGAGGATTTACAGCAACCCCAAGGCGTTTTGCAAGTTTAGTTAGGGAATCAAAGATTCTGGTGCCAGACTTGGCCACCTGTTTATGTAAAGTTGGAGCAGAACGAATGTCCCATTGAGACGATCAGGGAGCGTGTTTTGACTGCGCGCTCTTCTCTTTTCTGCCCCAACAACTCCATTTTATGCCCAAAACTGTCCATGCCACTCCATCAACCCCTGGCTTACTGGGCCCAGTGGTTTTCAGTGGCATCTCCGCTCTGTGAAATGCCCTTTGGTTTTTCCTTCCCACGTTGCCAGAAAAGGGTTTTAGCTGATGTAAAATTCTAAAGGTATTGCCTGGCCTCAGGGCAAAACCAATTTTCTGCTGTTATCTGACAGATTTGAATAATAATAATAATAATAACTGCTTTGGTTGGGTTTTTTTTTTTTTGAGCTTGTTAATGGTATTGCCTGTCTGAACAAGAAACCTGAAGGACAGGCATTAAGAGAGTTCAGCCTGTCCCAAAATGTCTTTTTCCCAGCTCTTCCATGGAGGGAGGAGGAGGAGGAGGAGGAGGAGGAGGAAGAGGAGGAGGAGGAAGAGGAGGAGAAAAAAGAAGCTAATTGTTAAGGCTGGTTTTATACCCACTGTTGGGCCCCACCTTAGTGTTTCCTGTCCTGTGCAAGAAATGCATCCCATTGGCTGTCAGACTCCCAGGGGGTGGGAGCTAACTCTGTAGGCTTTGTCTGGACCACCTGAGTGCTGACTGATGCAATCTTCCCAGGCCGTGTCGCGAGGTGGGTAGAGGGCTTTGTTATGTAGAATACTCTGGCCCAGGCCTTAATGGCCTTGCCCATTAACAAAGGTGGGGGTGAGTTTCTGCTTCTGAGTTTCTGCTTCTCTTCTTAGGGGAAATATCCTGCCTTTTTAGTATATCCTAAAATATTTCATTTTTCCTAGGAGCGGGGGTGCGTTTTGTCTTCTAACAGGGATGTCGAAACGGCTGTTGAAAGAGAAACTCGGGGCGAGGGAGGCTCTTGATTTGGCGCTGTTTTTTCCACCTTTCCCGAAGGTTGTAACCTCCGCTTGGCTGGGAGAGCCTTTTGCGCAAACTCCTATCCTCTCCTGTTCCTGGAATCTTTCACAGCGCTTTTTGGGGTGGAGGAAAAAAATTTAAAAAAGAAGTAGGCGCTATTTTAAGAATTGGATGTTTTCTTGGCTTGCCTGTAATTGCTACTAGAAGAAAATGAAAGTGGAGCTGGCAGCCACAGGGGAGGGGTTTGCCCTAAGCCCCTGACTTGTTAAATGGGGGAAATTTAACTGATGGCTGGTTAGGGTTTTTAAGCCTTTGAGTGTTCTCCTGCCCTTTCCATCAGAGGTATGGAGGACTGATGGTCTCTGGAGTTCCACATATGGATAAGTACTGCCAACCTCTTGCAATTCACTCCCTTCCAAGTGATTCATTTTGCAATATAAAGCAAAAAAAAAAAAGATTCATTGCAGGGATTCTCTGCAGCACTTTAAATTCATTCACAAATCAAGGATGGGTAACCTCACTGGATACAGACAATTTATGAAATATTACTTGTAAGTTAGCATTTGGCATTTGTCTTCAAGATGAACTCGGCTCCTGGCTTTTCATTGCCTTCTTCTAAGAACGTCTTCCAAATCCCTAGTTTGGTTTACATTGTCAGATTTCCCGAGGATCTCAAATCCAAACAAGATCAGGTTTCCATGGCTGACTGAAGATGCCTTTGCAAATGCTATGTAGAATAAAAGACCAATGAGTAGACTGATGCTTTGGGGGGATTGGGAGATGGAGAGATCAGGGGATCCCCCATAAATACTCCAAATTTCTATTCACTTTTGGAAATGTTCGATTTAGCTACTTTAATATGCATACTAAAGGCCTTCAAAACAGCAAGCTTAATTTGTCACCCAGCGAGTATTAACTTTTTCCGGATTTAAATTTTTTTAAACATAGCCTGCAATAAAAGCAGGGAAGAAAAGTGTCTTGATTTAAGAAAGTCTTAAACAGATTGGGAGACCAGACAGATTTGGAATATTGGTTATTTTTGCTGCAAGACCTGAAAAGCAAGTATATAATTAAATAATATATTCGTGGGAAACCACTGAACCGGAACTAAATCCATATTAGGAGCTGAGGCTGGATGAAGGCTGCAGATGGACGCTAGAGGGAACCAAAGGACCAGACAGGAAAGAGTTAAAATGGCTAAGACAGCTATAACTTTTTCTTATCTTGAAAGTCTTTTTTTTTACATAGGCTGAAACATTAATGACTAAGGTCTCAGAAAATATTTAACTGGATAAAGTTTTAGACAATGACATTAAAAAAAAAAAACTTTACCTGAATATAGACATGTTAACATTTTGAAGGCATGAAAGATAACAAAATGGAGATTACCAAAATGGGAATACAAAAGATAAAATCAAGAAAAAGGACCAGGACATTGAACAGCTACAACAAAAAACGATGCCTCTTTTGGAAATGGGTGAACTTAAAAGAGAGTGAAAAGATGATATATGTTGACTTCTGCTTGGTGTGATAAAAGTTAAAAGCCACTTTATTATTATTGTCATTGTCTTTTTCTTTTTTTCTTCACTTTTCCTTTTTCCTTTTAGTTTGTATTTGTGTTTACTATGTTTCTTAAAAAATAAAATAAAATAATGTAATACACAAAGACACAAAGATACCAGATCAAATCCAAACAAGATCAGCCACATGCTAATGGAATTGGAGGAAACATGAAAAAAAAAGTTCTTTTATTTAAAACCTGAAAAGGTTGTTCCAGCAAATCTTGCAGTAAAAATATTATCTTAAGACTGGAATAATTTTAAAAATTGTTCTGTACTGCCTCCTGCTCCAGTGTACTCCAGTCTAATAAAACAGTGTTTGATCTTTTTATATATACCAGCTTCCATTTTAACTTTATGACCTCGTGGAAGGTTTTTTATGTTATTTTACTTCTGTATTTGCAACCACAAATGTCCCCATTTGGGCAGATTTCAAAGAGATTGTAGCTTGGTTTGGTTATTCATGCTGGTTTTCTCAAAGTTGCAATGTATCTGTGTTAATTAGGAAAAGAAGCCGGCCAATTTTTTCCCCCAATCTCCCTTTTTTCTTTTTATTCCTCGTCCTTGGGATGGAAGACCACCAGGAAATCCCAGACCGCAGGCTAGCCTGAAAGCTTGATCTGCAGGAATCTTTCCCCTTCTTTTGACCTCAGATGTCTTTGTGTTGGGAAGAGTGGCTGAGTCAGAAGTCAAAGTTTAGTGTTAACCAGACTGGCGGGGGGGAGTTTTCAGGATGTTGTCTACGGTCCCTTTATATAGGAAGGCTGACAGTTCTGATTTCACCGCATGGAGGCCAAACCTCCCTGGGTGATGCCCAGACATGAGTGCCATGCCTGAAATTGTGAAAAGCTGCTAAGGGCCAGAGTTGCTTCCTTGATCGGGTTCAGCCTCTTATCACTAAATGTCAGCTTCGTTCTGCCTGGTTGCTTGGCAGGAATTCCTTCCTGCTCTAGGCAAGTGGCTTTTTTTCTGCACAGGCCTGTGCAGATTTGCCACTTGACTCAGACGGGGGGTGAGAAAAAGTAGAAAGAGACCTAGATGCTGTGCTCTCTTCTGCCGACTTCCTTTCCACACCGTCTCCAAGCTAAAAATGTTTCCTTTCCTTTCCACAAGTGCTTAGACAGGCTTCTAAAAGAGGGTGTAAGAAGGCCTCTCTTGGCTCATTTGGGGATTCAATTACTCCCGTGTCTCGGAGAAAAAGGGGACAACCCATTCTCCAAGGCATCTGAAGGGCAGGACAAGAAGCGAATGCATGGAAGATGATTAAAGAGAGATCCAACTTCCAACTGCTGGTGACCTTCTACTGCTGCACCAGAGAGACTATCTGAATTGACTGCACCTCTGTACGGTTTGCCAATTTGCACCGGGACAGATAGGACGGTGCTCCAGAGGGTTACTATCATTGCCCAGAAGATCATGGGTTGCCCTCTCCCCTCTTTGGAAGAGCTTTATAGCTCCCGCTGCCTTGAGAAAGTTCAAAACATTCTCAAAGATCCATCTCATCCTGGGGACCCCTTTTTTTGAACTGTTACCATCTGGCAGATGGTACAGAATAATAATAAAAACAAGGACAAAGAGGCTGAAAAATAGCTTCCATCCCAGGGCATAATTTGAGGATGTTCTTGTAGCTGGTGCACTCCCTGGCGAGGGGCATCATTAAGAACAGGACATTTCCTAACAGTGACGAATTGATGCTTAACTTATCTCAAAGCATGTGGTTAATTTCTTGATTATTTCACCCCGCCCCTCTTCCTTCTAGCATTTTTTGCCAGAGCCTCCTCCCATGTGTTCCTTGGGAAGGGGGCACTCTTCCTTTTTCCTTCCTGGAATCCGTGACTTGGCTCGCTTGCTTGATCTTGGTGTACGGGGCTCGTTTTGTTAGGTGTTTTGTTAGGTGTTATCATCCAGTGGAAAGACTTGATGTTTCCTTTCTTCCTCCCCCCCCTCCCTTTCTTGTCTCCCAGGGTGGTAAAGGAAGAGATCTCGGATGACAACGCAAAACTCCCGTGTTTCAATGGACGTGTCGTCTCCTGGGTATGTGGAGTCAAATCCTGCCAGTTCATTGACGCGGGCAAAAGATACGGTTTGTGGGGAGAGAGGTTTTTGCACAATGGGACCCCTCGCTTGCCAAGTCTCGCGTGCATCTCGTATGTATCTTTAGAAGAAGAAGAAAATCCATGGGTCCCCAACGAGAGGTTGCAAGAATTAGCTGTTCCCCCCGGCCACAGTTCCGAGGTTCAAGTATCTCATGGGGTTTTTAATTTATTTATTTTTTTGAGTTCCTTTTAGTGTGATGATGAATTCTTCCATTCCTGTTCTGTGTAGCCTCATTGCACGGTGTGCCTGCAGCCCGTTCTGAATTCATCGCTTAATTGCCTTCAGTGGTTTTGCGATTTTGATCCCTTCTTTTGAAAGCCGCTTCCATTTTTCGGCTGAAAAAACCACGTTCGGACGCCCTGCTGAGGTTGACTTTGTTTGCCGAAACGCCACTCGTCTGTCTTGGGGCGGACACAGGTTGCGCACAGTGGGTTGGCCATTGTAGGCAATTTTCTGTTTCATCGGCTGCAATAACGGGATGTCAATTTTTTTTCCCCCCCCACTTGGGAAAAACCCACCTGATTCGCCGCTTTGGCACTAATTCCTGATTGGCTGAGGGTGATGTCATGCTTTTTTTTTTTTTTTTCCTCCCAACAACCACATCCCGCCATTCAGGGTGGTTCTCTCTCTCTCCCCCCCCGCCAGACTCGGTGGTATGATTCTCCTTTTTTTTTGTACATGGTTCTTTCCCAGGTCTGCTCCTAATTCAGACAAACGGATAAAATGTGTTCAGCCTTAGATAGTTCTGAAAAAAAACAGCCAGGCAGAGGGATGGGGAGAAAAACACAGCCGGCAAGCAATCCATCATGGAGTAACAGTGGCTTTCTCTGTATGGAAGGAAACAGGTACTTTAGCACGATGGCCTGTTCTATAGAGAATTGTCCCTTAGAACTGATCTTGCCTTCTATAGGCATCTTGGTCAGCCCCAAACCTAGATTTAAGGTTCCTGGTAAGCCCCAATCCTAAATCTAAATCTAGATTAAGTCTAGATGGTTATGTGTTGGAAAAATAAAACCACACGCTCTTCTTTATATGATTAAAATCCATATTGTGTTTTATATGGTTTGGCTTTGACCTTTTTAACATGTCCAGAATCGCTTCAGTGAGCAAAGTTTCCTAATGCCTTAGCTTTAAATTCTCAATTTGTCCAGTAAAGTATTAAGCCTTGGTTTTTTTTTTTTTTGTCCCTTTAGAAATTAGAATTGGCAGGTCTTCAGATCTTTTAAAAGACAGTACCTACCGACACTGCAGCACATTTTTAGAACGACAAAAACCAGGTGTTTTTTTGTTTTTTTTAAAGGGCATGTGTAAATCTTGGCTCGCTAACGTGAACTGCTCCAATCTATGTATTTTTCCCTCCAGTCTTAGAATATTTTTCCTCTCTCCACGCTCATTTGTCTTGTTAGTCTTTTAATAAAGACGTCATTCACGCCCATTTGAAAAAAAAACAAAAAAACACCTACGCTGAATTCTCACTCCCACTTGGGGAAGCATTTTCCTGTTAGTAACCTAACAGGGAAGGAAAAAAGAAATACACATGTAACATTTGCATTTTTCTTTGATTTCTCCCCCCCACCCTCCTTTTAATTCACGCAAAACTTTTCATCAGCAAAAATGATGCCAGGGGGTAGATGGTCCCCTGGTATTTTCCCCCTGCCATTCTGTCAATCTACCTCTCTGACATTTCTTCCCGATGAACATTTTCCCTGCAGGTCAGCTCAGGGAATACCAATTTTGTGCCTTCTGTCACTGGCTGGTTTTTGTCTTTTAGTATTCTTTCAAGCATTTCCTCAGGGGTTATTCTTTCGAAATTGGGGGAGAGACGGGCTTCTGTGAGACGAGAAGCGCAACACCCAGCTATTTTGGGCTGAACCTCATTACAGTAGGAGCATGGGGGCGGGGGAAAGACTTGCTTTGGGAAGTAAATTTGTTAGTGTAAGACCTCTCTCAGGTTGGAAGATAAGCAGACCCAGGAGTAGCTCTGAATACAGTCCTGCTTTTTCGTACCTAGAGTAAGGGTGTCAAACTCGATTTCATTGAGTGCCAGATCACAATTGTGGGTTGCCCTCTGGGGGTCAGGAAGGGCGTGGCATGGGCAAGGTGATCATAGATGACCGGCCGTGGTCCGGGGTATGGTCAGCTTTATTTTATGTATTTGTTTTGTCAAGCAAGTATTAGATAACAGGAATAAGTATAAACATCGTTATGAATACATGAAATGCCTACGAATAAAAGGAAACAATAGGACAGGGACGTTGGTGTGCTTATGCACGGTTCCTGCAGACCTCTTAGGAAAGGGGTGAGGTCCACAGTAGACAGACTAAGGTTAAAGTTTTGGGGGTTTGGGGAAGAAATCATAGAGACAGGTAGCGCATTCCAGACATTCCAGTCGTATTTCCTGCACTCAAGTTTGGTGCGGTTTACCTGAGTTTGTGTCTATTGTGTGCTCTTGTATTGTTGTGGTTGAAGCTGAAGTATTCATTGACAAGTAGGACATTGCAGTAGATAATAATATGCACTACACTTAGATTGGACCGAAGGCGGCGTAGTTCTAGGTCACTTGACATCACTCACTCACACACACACACAAACACACACATGTGAAGGGCCGGAGATGCTGGTGTGGGTGACCCATGCCGGGATGGGGTGGGCCGGGCAGGAAGGATCCAGCCATATCGCGAGGCAGATCTGGCTCACAGATTTTGAGTTTGACACCCCTGGCTTAGAGGGATAAAGTAGCCAACTTTTCATTTGCTTGATTGCGTGTTTGCATTTCACATTTCTGAACTCCCCCTCTTCCTCAGAGAAGAAGGCTTCTGTTGGCTTCTGTTTGCATCACCTGCAGTTAAAAAATTTTGGATTTCCCTAAGTAGAATTATTTAGTATCAGGGTCAGATGAGCGATACTCTTTTTTTTTCTGGCCCAGTAAGCCACTCAAGGAAGAGACAGGTGGTTCTTTTAAGAAGAAGATGGTTAACAAGGCACTCCTTTTCACCACATGGTGGAGGGAAGGTTATACAGATTAACAGAATTGGAAGGGGCCTTGTAGGTCATCTAGTCCAACCCCCTGCCCAAGCGGGAGACCCTTGCACCATTTCTGACAAATGGCAGTCCAATCTCCTCTTGAAAGCCTCAAGTGAGGGCGCTCCCACAACTTCCGAGGGCAACTTCTGTTCCATGGGTTGATTGTTCTCACTGTCAGAAAGTTTCTCCTTATTTCCAGGTTGAATCTCTCCTTGTTCAGTTTCCATTATTCCTTGACTGGCCTTCGGGTGCTTTAGAAAATAGCTTGACTCCTTTCTCTTCTCTGGGGCAGCCCCTCAAATATTGGAAAGCTGCTCTCCTGTCTTCCCTGGTCCTTCTCTTCCCAAGACTAGCCAGGCCCAGTTCCTGCAACCGTTCATCGTATGTTATTTAGCCTCCAGTCCCCTAATCCCCCTGGTTGCTCTTCTCTGCGCTCTTTCTAGAGTCTCAACCTCTTTTTTATAGTGTGGTGACCAAAACTGGATGCAGTACTCTTCGTGTGGTCTTACTAAGGGTTTATAGAGTGGTATTAGTACCTCCCTTAATCTTGATTGTATCCCCCTGTTAATGCAACTTAGGATTGCGTTGCCTTGCGTATCCTCGTCCTGACACCCTCATTTAATTCCCCTCCTTGTCTTGCAGCTGGTCCTGGCCGAGAGCTCCCATTCGGACGGCGGATCGCAGTGCGCAGAAAGCCACACCGATCTTCCTCCTCCCCTCGAGCGAACCGGAGGCATCGGAGACTCTCGCCCCCCTTCCTTTCAGTAGGTTTCGATTTAAACATTTCAGCCCAACGTTCGTTCTGCTGCACACAATTTTAACAGGGGCATATTTTCCAGAATTGATTTAAAAAGGAAAAATGGGGGGGGGCGAGGGGGGGGGATCTGCAGAAGGGGTTGTTCTCTCCACTTCCAGCAGTTGGAATAGCCGCCCGTCAGGGAAGATGGGAAGCGTAATCCAGCAAAGGCTGGAAAACCTCTGTTGTAGTTCGCCGGCAGGCTGTGCAGACGGCAACAGTGTCGGACAGTGGGGAAGAACAGGGACCATTCCAGGAGTCTGGGGAGGACTCAGATAAGGGTCCTGCATCCGATGGAGAGATGGGGCCAGGTGGTGCTGCCTTCAGAGCCTTCGGAGTCTGACAGCAGCGAGGCAGAGGAACCAGGGGAGCCTGTTCCCAGTGTGTGTATGCGCAGAGCTGCTAGAAGGGGAGAGCAGCTGAAGGGGAGACTCGGGAGTAAGGCTGGGAGGTGATTGCCCCTCCCATAAGGGATGAAAGTCAGACCTCAATGACGAAACCTTTGCAGGAAGCAAAGCAATTCAATAGATTCTGAGCCCTCCTTGAATCTCTGCATATTTTGGTGGGTTTTTTCCTGTTACTGTTATAATTAATTGGATACTTCTGTTTTTGGCAACATTCCACAGCACTGAAAGGTATGTGCTTATCTCGGGGAACTGTTTAAGATTAGTCCTGGCTGTGAGTGAAAGTCATTCCCAGCGTTGCATTAAAATAGATTTTGCTTTTAAAACAAGTTTGCGTTTAGTTATGTTTGATGACGCCTGAGTCAGAACAGCCTCAAGTTGTCTACTCTTCGCTCTTCTCCCTGAGAGGCTAGGATTGCTCTGTGCAAAGAGTAATTCCACCCCCCCTTCCCTGCCAGATAAGAATGTTTTCTACTCAGGTGCTAGTTTGACTGCCTTGGTGAGAGGAGGAGAAGGCATCGCATGTCATCAGATAAGGAGAAGCGAGCAGGAATTATCTTTAATCACAGGCGTCGCATAACAATCAGACGCGGGTTTAGGAAACTCAGGTTTTGAAAAATAAGTATTTTCCTTCTATTAAAAATATTTGTTAAAATTGTCAGGCGAAACTAGTGCAAAAATGCCAGTGTACAAAACAGGTTTTTAAGAAATAATGTATTAATGGGGTACAGGTGGTCCTCAACTTACGACCACAATTGAGCCCAACATTTCTGGGGTTAAGCGAGACAGCTCTTAAGTGAGCTTTGCCCCATTTGCGACTGTTTCCTGCCACCGTTGTTAGGTGAATCACTGCAGTTGATCAGTTAGTCACACGGTTGTGAAGCAAATCTGGCTTCTCCATTGACTTTGCTTGTCAGTGTATCATGTGACTTTGGGACACTGCGGCTGTCATAAGTACATGCCAGTTGCCAAGCATCTAAATTTTGGGGATGATGCAACAGCCATAAGTGTGAAAAATCCATCTTAGTTCACTTTTTTCAGTGCCATTGTACTTCGAATGTCACTAAACGGATGGTTGCAGGTAAAGGACTACCTGTACTGTAGCAGGCCAACATCTGGAGGGTCACACAGGTTCCTTGTTCCTATTTCAAACACTCTTACAAAGCAGTTTTTAAAAAGACAAACAGTTTGGCCCATACCCGGTTTAAAGAGTGGGATATCCTAACCGAGGGTGAACCAGAATGTTAAAAATAATGGTGGATTTAAGTGTCGTACTCCTTGTTTTGTTACTATAAAACATTAGTATTATTATAAGGCACTTAAAACATTATTATTATTATAAAGCACTTAAAGCTGATAAAATCAGGAATCCTGCATCCAGGACAATCTCTTTACTTTTTTTTTTTTGGTTTGCGTCCTGGGAATGGGTCACACCCTGTGTAGCATTTCCTCCCAGAACAGTTAGAGAGAGATTGATTGCTTTTCAGCCAGCCTGCTTCCTTCTTTGGCAGTGATATTTCTGCCCTCTCCTGGCTGTTCCAGGATCTGAGAAAATGGGTTTTTTTAGTTTCTCATAACACACGCGCACACACACACACACGAATGACTCGCTTTTTTGAGCCTATCCACCCTGTTCACCAGCACATCATATGCATTATATGAACCCAGCCCGAATTCTAGCAGTTAAAAAGACTCAAGGAAATAAAATTTCTCCGCTCTCCAAACCTATCCAGCGAATTCACAGCTTCCTCTCCATTGATCAGACCTCACAGACTTCGGAATTAAATGAGGTGGTGAAAAATAACAAAAGACGCCACCTTGTAGCCAAAGGGAATTTAAAGCAATATATATATATATATATAGTTCTTTGGGCCTTGTATGCTAACAAAATAGAAACAAACTACGAAGCTGCTTTTTTTTTAAAAAAAAATGTTACAACACGTTCTAAAAGCACAATTAAAGTCAGGAGAATATATTTCCTATAAAGCTGTAATAGTGTATTCACTTCCAATTAAGCCAGGGATTAACTGTTCTTAAAATAAATACTTTCCCCTTTTCTGTCATTGTTTCTTTTCCTTGAGTGTTTGTCTTCCTATAGTCTTCTTGATACATACCTGGCCTTGAAGCATGTCCACATTTATCATGGGTTTAATAGAGGAAGATTTATTCATCAGAAGGAATTGCAGTGTTTTTTCAAACTAACACATTGTATTAAAAACCATAAGACTTTGGTGAGGTTATAATAATGAAGACTTATTGAAGGGTTCCATATAAAATCAAGGTTCTTCAAACTTGACAGCTCGAAGACTTGTGGACTTCAACTCCCAGAATTCCCGAGCCAACATGGACTGGAGGAGGAATTCTGGGAGTTGAAGTCCACAAGTCTTCAAGTTGTCAAGTTTGAAGACCCTGGTATAAATGATAGAGCCTGGCATAGCATGTGCACCTCATTTGATGCCATTTCTTCTTCTTCTTCCTCAGCCCAAATGCCTCAAGCAGCCGAGATGGGCTGGACAACGAAACAGGAACCGAGTCGGTGGTCAGCCACCGGCGAGATCGTCACCGGCGGAGGAACCGAGAAGGCCACGAAGATGGTAAGTTGGCTCTTCTTTCCCTCTGATGCCTTGGATTGATTGGCCTGCATTTCTGAGGCTAGCCAGGAGCCTAAAACCCATTGTTAGGAGGGTTTTCAGAGAAAAAAATCAGGTGTGAAACAGAAAAGCGTTTAAGGTGCCCGTTGCAAAGGTCTGGGGCAGCATCAACACACACTCAGTGTCACAATACCTTCGGAGGCATGTAATGACTGCAAGCAAACATATTCCCCATGTGTTCTCCGTAAGCATGCAAGTTCATATAGAAAGAGGTTCTGTCTAAATTGTTTTTAAAAATGCAGAATCTCCTTTTGAGTTTAACCTCCTGGTGACTCCATGGACCGTTTGGTGCTGTTTTTCTTGGCAAGGGAGTGGGAGCATCTTGCTGCTTCTTCTACTCCCCGCAGATATTTGTTTAAATCGCCAAGTCTCACCTCCGGCCTTTGATAGTCCCGTAGTCTTCCATCTCTGGTTTAATCATGACCGACCCGACTTAGACCATCACAATCAGTGGCTAATGGCCCTTTTGAGGAGCTAGAAGGAGAAATGCTATGCTGTTTAAGATTCCCACTTCTCTCTCTTTCCTGGGGGTGTGCGGGTCGTGTATTTTGGTATTCTAAACATCCCCTCAAGATTTAGAGGTTATTTTATATTCTTCCAACCGTCAGGTCTTCTTCAGCTTTACCCATGAATGCTCAGGGACCTTGTAGCCTACGATTGCTGGTTTGCCTGAGCGTGTCGCTCTTTGCTTGCCTTTTGTGAGAACGCAGGCTGGGTCAGAAGCCAGTCAGGAGAACAGCCCTCTTCTGCACGACGTCCTCTCTAGTTGTCTTCATGTCCCCTTCACCCTTCAGCCAAGAGCTCCCTTCAGTAATGCCAGCCTTGATGTTGGGCACGCAGATCCAAAACCCAAGCCTGCAGGAGGGGACGAATCCTCCTCTGCTGAGGAATAATTGCACTGACAGGGAGTGGGGGGTGGGGTATGGAAACAAGCCAGCGATGGGGCTGTATTTTCCTTACGTGCCCAAATCTGCTTTTATCCCCGTTTGGGGTCTAATTAAGGGAGTTTGTGTCTGTGAGTTTGGTGGTTTTATTTTATTTTAATGGGGAGCATTATGCCCGCTGTCACAGCAGGAGCAAGGGACGAGTCCCTCGCCCTGCCATGCAAGGTGGAGACAATTGACCAATTCCGATTAAAAGGGAAAAGCAGAAGACTTAATTGGAAGTTTAGGGGGGGGGGGGTCTGTTTGGGGGTTCTCATTAGGAACTGAGGCTTCTTTGTGGCTCCCAACCCCACCTCTTCTGTTTCCTAAAGAGAAGCACGAAAGGGAAAAAGGCTCCAATTAGAGGTAATTAAGAAATGGTGGTTTGGGACACAGATGGGGGTGTGTGTGTCAAATGTCACCCTCATCGTTTCACCACTTGTTCTCTCCCGACTCCATTTTTCCATGGGGGTGGATTTGACTCTCTGAACCTGGCAAAAATCCATGTTGGTGTTGTAGTTCGCCAGCAGCAGGTGCGGACAGCTGAGGTCTCTGATAGCGAGGACTTGGACGAGGGGCCTGCGTGTGATCGCAGGAATGGGGCCAGGACTATCAGAGAGTGGGGGGCTGCCTTCGGAGCTTGTGGAGGCTGGCAGCAGTGATGAAGAGGACCCCCAAGACCTGTGCCCAGTGCGTGTGCACGCAGGGCTGCTCGAAGGAAAGAGCAGCTGAGGCAGCAAGGGCGACTCAGGAGTAAGGCTGGAAGGTGATGGCTCCTCCCATAAAGGATAAAAGCCAGCCCTCGGGGATGTGTCCTTTGCAGGAAGCAACGACGTTATTTCTACTCAGAGTCCTCGTCAAAGCCCTGCTTACTCCGGTTTGTTTTTTGAAACTTCTGTCGGTGGATATTTCATCAGTAATTTGCCTTCTGTTCTTGGCAGCCTTTTGCAACCTTGAAAGGGCTTGCTTTTGATATCGGGCCGTTGGGTTGACATGTCTCTTGGCTGGGAATGCGCTGAATTCCCAGCGCCGCATTTCAAAAGCTTTGCTTTTATACACAGTTTGTGACTGTTTAATTTGAACAAGGCTTGGGTCAGAACAGTTGGGCAGAGGGAATCAGCAGATGGCTGCTTGCAACAAATAATGAGGCATGACTGGCTTGGGTTTTTGCGTGTTTGTGTGTGTGTGTGGTCTGTTTCATATGTGTTGTATTCAAACCCTCCCCTGGCATCTCTCTGACTAGACTGCGCGTTCAGTTTGACGGGAAAGAAAATTGCTTTCCGGATTCCTTTTTTCTAAAGATGAAGACACCTTTTAATTATATTTTCTTGGCTTGCATTTATTTATCAATGAAGGGTCGTGTGTGAGAATGTGTGAGAAACACAGACAGAGCAGGAGAAGGACACAGATCTTTGGATAGGACAGATAATTCATTTCTTCCTTTTCCTGCCCAAAGATGCAGGCCTGCATCCCCCTGTTTCTTTCCAGATAATTCTAAGCTCCACCCCCCTCCCACCCCAATTGAGCCTCCATTCCCTCAGCTCCCCCCATTCTCTATCCCTCAACAATCTTCCCCTGTGATTTCTTTATCTTGCTGTGGTTCTCCCCACGGCATTTTTCTGCAGACCCCGGCGCTTTACGGCAAGGAGCGAGGTAGTCTGATTCAGGGTCTAGGAGCCCGAAACACCTCAGCTAATGGTCAAAGGCTGAAGGAGGGGGACCTGCCCACTTATTTATTTAATTTTTTTTTAAACTCAGGTTTCCTCAACGTTTCTTTCTAAGCCGCTTAATAAACGCTGAAGGCCAGCAGGAGGACGGGGGCAAGTCTCTTATCACAGCCTCCGCCGTCCTATTTCTGGAATTGCCACAGGGGACGCAAATCCAGGCAGTAACATGTGGCTCAGATAATGTGCATTTGTGTCATTCATGTTGTCAGGCTCCAGATGTAGCTGAAGGGGGATTTCAAGGCTGGCTGGTGACTAGCAAGAGATGTTAAGAGTTGGGGAGGAGCGAACTTTGGAAGGATGAGTCCTGCTCCTCTGCCTTTAAAAAGGTCTCTGGTTGCCTACATTTATTTTCTTCCTTTCTTTCTCTTCCTTCCTCTTTCTGTCTTTTTCTTCCTCTTTCTTTTGGTCTTTCTTTCTTTCTTTTTTTCTTTCTTTCTTTCCTTCCTTCCTTCCTTCCTTCCTTCCTTCCTTCCTTCCTTCCTTC